CGTGCCCCTTCCCCTAGGCGACGGCAAGCTCAGCTCCCCTCTTCAGCCGGCACCGCGCAGTCCCCTCTCAACAGCGCGCCTCGGGAACGAAGCCAGGGCTAACCGTGGTAACAGCAGGAGCCGGCGCTGACACAATCCAAATACATTTGGGAAAAAAAAAAAAAAAAATCTCAGGGGTTATGCAGACAGATTAAAAAACACGCTTTTCCATTTAGTTGCATCTTACGTGCCATCGCCATACAGATCATAGATTTAATAAAGCTTTCCCAGGGAGTTCTGTGTGTTCCTGCAATTCTTCACGATTATCCGCCAGGAGGGACTCAGGAGCCTGCTATTTCAATGACTAAAAGTGCTGGCACACCTCCTAAGGAGCCCCACTTCACCAGGAGAGCAAAAACACACTGCATGTGCATGACGCTGCTGCAAGAATCAATTCTGGAGGGCAAGGGGAAAAAGCTTCAGAAGATGGGCAGAGGCTTCCAGGTACTCCGCTATACAAAACACACCAAGCCTCAGAATTCAATTATCTTCTGTTCTTTTGCATACCGCCCTCGATTTATTTTAAGATCCCACAAACAGATCTGTGCTTTACAACAAATATGTTTGTTTTCTTTGTCCTTCTAAAGAGTAAAGATTTCTCACTTGAGGGGAGAAACCAAACCTAAAAAGCAGAAGACAGTCCCTATCTATAGTTGCTTGCATTAAAAAAAAAAAAAAAGTTTTGATATTAATGAACAAAATGAAATGTTCACGATTGCAAGTTACTTGCCTATCACTGAACCACATTTGTAAACATGCTTCCTGAACTTCATACAATACATAGAAAGTTTCATCTATCACGAAGCTGACTTACTTCTTGTGTCCTCGGTGTTTGCGCGGCACTGAGTTTTGCCTTGGAGTTCTCTCGCAAGCTCCATCGGTGCTGTCGCTGCCTTCGCTCTTGGTTAAAGGCGAGTTTTTCCATGGGATAACGTACCCAGGAGTGGGGCTGAACTGTTTTAAGTCTCCTTGCCCTAATGAGCTTCGTTCACCACAGTAACAAAAGGCGCAGAGTTGTTCACTGTGAAAGGGAAGATAATTACTTTGTTTTTTGGAAGAACAGTAGAGAATATCCTATACATGAGCAACTTTCATGCCAATTTACAACAATAAAAACTCCCCACTACTGTAAATATCAGAATTCAATATCCTCTTTCCAGCTAGTTTGAAGTTATGTTACAGAACTTCTTGTTTCACAAAAGTGCTTGACTATGTTCACACAAACCAGGGCATATGACACACAAATCCAACCCCCCTTTTTTACTTTAACAATTAAAAAACAATACAATAGCTAGAACTTTTACAAAAAAGGAATTTATATTTACAGAACTGAGATCGTTAAGACATCCCTGTACCATTTGCAATTATGTTTTCACATTCATAAAATAACAACAGCTCTGAAATGACAGCTCTGACAGCACTCCTTGTGTCACATCATATGGAAGCTACTGAGAAATATTTCTGTAATAAACATATCTACAAAGTTTAAATGTGAACTTCTGCAACTAATGCAATTTGCATGACACCAGTTTAAAGGGAAAGCAATTTAACACATCCATCTGCTTAAATGAGCAATTTTGTTTTCTTCATATGTATGCCCCTAAGACCCCCCCAAAAGATGCTTCAGGGAATCTAGGATCTGGGTAGAGGCCGGTTTTTCAGTGGATCCCATTTAAATAGATTTAAGTGCATCTCCAAAGTGGCATATTTTGGTTTGGGACGCTCTGTGTTGGATGGGGGAGGGAGGAAGGAGGAGGAAATCTTAAGGCTAAATTCCCATATAATATTAATTAAATCTTGGAAAAAAGTATATAGAATATCTGTGCTTTTCAGCCAGCAGTAGCAGAAGAAGAAATTTAAGAAAGGGAAGCTCTAGTTCTGAACAGAAGACAGAATCCAGTAAAGCCCCTCAGATTTGATTTAACCTATCTGAGCTGAACACCGTACAGGTGGCACTGGCACTTTCTCTACGGCAGCCGCACCTCTGGGGATGTGCGGATTGGTGGGCATGTAAAACGAGTTCCCTCCACAGTGCTCAAATTAATACCCTACCATACTACTGCTAAGAAACATTCACCTTTGCATTCGTGGCCTTGGCCACACGCCCCTAACTGATCCTGCGCGAACACAGGGCCAGCAAGAGGCAGCACAACCCACCGGGCCAGTCCAGCTCGTGAGAAGTCTCTGACACTTCCCAGAGATCTTCAGAAGAAGGTACCCAAAGATAAAAAGATGTAAAGAAAATGATAACAAAAGTAGTGCAAGAAAGGGGAAAATGGAGTAGTTACAGCTGATCAGTACTACTCTTTCATAATTTACTTTCAGCATGGTAAAACAACAAAGAAATGATTACTTGTAAGTCAGTGAACATACCCAGTAAGACTACCGGTGAAACCTGATCTGCCCTTATAGGCAGAGTTCGTATGAAAGGGGTAGCAAAGTCATTTACACTAGTTGAGACCAGAGAGACTTGGGAGGAGACTTAAGAGATTTCAACAGGCCGCACAATGGTGTCTCAATTTCAGTAGACAGAGACACAAGATTATCCACAGTGGAATAAATAATTATGCATACATCCTGTTAGGACAGACTGACAAACTTCAGTAAAAGACTTGAGGATAATTATGACTAAACAAACAAACCTCCTTCCTTAAAGTACAGAAGAAGGTTGCAAACATGCAACCATAATGTTAAGATTCATAAAAGAGAAACACCCAAAAAACTGAAAAGTTATTAAACTACCGTTTAAAGCAGCGGTATTTCATAAAGGAGGGCGAGGGCGATGCGGAGCTTTCTGGCGCCCGTAAGACAGCTCGTGTATCGCAGCTCCTGGCCGACGCGGGCCCGAGCGCCCTGGCCACCCCTCGGCGCGGCGCGGACAGCCGGGAGGCTGTCGGCAATCACAAGGCCGGGGCCGCCGCTACGGTGCCCGCAAAGCGGGGGCCGTGGCCGAAGCAGGCGCTCCAGCGCTCGACGCCGGGAGG